CCCCCCCCCCCCCCCAAAAAAAAACAGGCCGGAGTGCATCAAAAACGTGTCAAAAACGCCTCAAAATGCACTGCACTGGATATGCAGAAACTCATGCAGATCTGGTCCGGCTTTGGTGTGAACAAGCCCTAAAGATATATACAATGACTGCATCTGATTGCATGCTGTTGCTGTTCAGCCAATAATATTCCACTCAGTTCCTTCAACTTTTCAGTTTACTTTTTTAAAGTCGGATCGGTGCCAGCAGGGCCACCCACTGCTAGACAGAACAACACAATAATTGATAACTTAAAGAAGAACTCCAGGAGTAATAAAAAACTCACCCTTGCGGTGGGGCTACCCCCGACTGCAAGGGTTAACCACTTGTTTTGTCTAGGGAACTCAAATAAAGCACATGTAATTACCTAGATCTGGCTCCCTCTGAGCCGTTAGACCGGTCCCCGCACCCTCTTCTCCCCTGGGCTCCAACACTCTTAGGACTGCTGGCGTCATCACGTCTTATGCAGGTCCAGTGAATTGCATTAGGCATGAGGATCGCAAGGAACATTTCACAGTTGCAGTGGAGGGGGAGAGAGGTGGCTGCTATGGGTGCCGGGATCAGGTGAATAGAACAGCTTTCTTAGACAAAACTAGCACTTAACCCTTGCAGTGCAGGGGTAGCCCCACTGCAAGAGTACGTTTTTCATTTTCATGGAGTTCTTCTTTAAGACAATCTGTTTGGTTGTGTAGAGGATTGCCAGGGAACAGAATGGGATATAACAGTCTTTATACCAATGAAGCCTTCAATATTTGTCCGATACTCAAACCGTTACTATAAAACAAAATGAAATATTCCACAATAGAAATCATCCCAAATACAAATTTATACCTCAAAAAGTTTGATGTCATCCTCAGATAGGTCCTGCCTCAGGGCATGCTTCCAGGGCAGCTTGAATTGAGTCTTTTCATCGTTGACCCATTTCACCCCTGGGTACATCTGACTATTGATCTTACCAATCAGCCAAGGGATGATGAGGGGCCTCTGGGATGCCATTCTGTAGACTGCAAATGACAGACATTATAAGAACAAGATATCAGGAGGTGTACAGTAGTTTATTCTGTAAAATGAAGTTATAATAATGTATTATCATAAAATCCAA